AAAAGGCTTACCTTATATATGATGTTTTTAAAGTGTATTTTTTATTTCTACTTGTAAGCTTCATTTATTTTTTTCTTCTGTCCTTTCCTTCCTTCAGCCCCAAGACACAAATAGTATCATGTAACAATTGTTAACATTCTGGCTTGATCTCTCCTACTTTAATAACCTTCTCGTATGCTTTCTCATAGAGATGGTCATTGACAGAAAACTGACACAGAGTTCAAAGTATCTGCTCCTTCACCATTTGACTGTGTGATCTTGCAACAATCACATAACCTCTCTCAATCATAAATTCCATTGATATAAGATGGAAATAGTACCATTAATGTATCTACTTCTTACCACAAACCCTGCATGAATTTGTATGCATTTCAGTGTCTTATCTGTGACTAATCATGATGTCTTTCTTGTCACTGAAAAGACAAAGGAGTAGTCTCTGACCTAAGATACTTTGTGGAGACCATGGAATGGATACCTTCTTAAAAGTTGAAAAGGTTACAATGACATTATGTCTGAAGTCCTATAGAATTGTGGAGGAGGAGGTATCTTGTCCTGGTGAGATATCTGGCTGGTGAGTAGGGAAGGACTGAGGATATGAAAGGAAAGGAATGATTCTGTAGCTGACGTTTGTGTTAGGTACTGAAGAACTAGTTACTATTTTCAGTATTTATATGCATACTTCTTTTCCTTTTAGGCCAGCTGACTTACCAAGTTCAGTCACCTGATGAAGGGGCCCTAGTGACAGCTGCAAGAAACTTTGGATTCATTTTTAAATCTCGAACCCCAGAGACAATAACCATAGAAGAACTGGGGAGCCTGGTTACTTACCAATTGCTTGCCTTTTTAGATTTCAACAATATCCGGAAAAGGATGTCTGTCATAGGTATGGTTGGTAACTGAGATTTCTTTTAATCTGTTGATTGTACTCTAATGACATTGATACTTTTCAAGGACTATTTCACTCTTGTTTGTCTTTGTGCTGAATTGTGATAATTTTAAAACTTTATGAACTATAATCTTTTACATGCCTCAATACTGTAGTAATAAGTATACTTAACTCTAGTAGCTTAGTGGTAAGGAGTTTCACTGTCAATCCAGAAGTTCATCATTTGAATTCACTTGCTATTCCATGGGAGAAAGGTGGACAGTCTCCTTCCATGCAATTTACAGCCTCTGGAAACCTGTGCCTCTCTGGTGGTATGAAGCTATCAGCAGTTCCTCAAGAGAAAAATGAGCAATCAATCTCTTTCCATGTGGTTTATAGCTCTGGCAACCCAAAGGAATGTGAGCAATGAGCTGAATCGTACATGATGGCATTGAGAGAAAGGAAGGGTGAAAGTGAGGGATACACACATAGAGAGAACCCAGCGCTGTTCTAAGTGTTCAACGTGAATTGATGGATATAAAATGTGGATTGATTGATATAAAATAAAAATATTAT